TATAATTAGTTTGTAAAACTAAGTATTCTTCATTTGTTTTTAAGAAATTTATGCACCTGGATTGTATTTTAATTATGCATTGACTTGAGGCAATTCATTTGTATAGGTTGGGGTTGCAGAAATGAAAGTTGCAATTGAAAGAACTGGTGGGCTTGTTGTTCTGGCAGAAAGTTTTGGTCATTCTGTATTCAAAGACTCTTTCAAGCGTGTTTTTGAAGAAGGGGAACAGTCGCTTGGCCTTTGTTTCAAGTAAGTGTAATAATCATTAAACATATCGATGATCTTTTTGTTCACATTTCACATTTTGAGTTCATTATAATTAGTTTGGCACTCAACTTTAAAGTTGTATTGCTGACCATTTAGCTGAATTTGACATGTTCTAGTGATGCTCCAAATGTGATTCTTGTAACTTGTTATTTTTGTGATACACCTTGAGCATAGTTATAGGAATGCAGCTAGGGCTTGAGAATCATATTCCTTGATTTTTGACCTTTAAGCTTGTAGAAGATGTGTTCAAATGCTAGCAATGATACTAGCTGGGTCTTTTCAGTTTCTTTTTCAATACACACGATTGTTTTTCTTGTCTTTTCCTTTTTCATTTTGGGTTGGTGGAAGAATCAAAGAATAGAGTGAGAAGGGGACCCATAAGGTAGTGTATGATTGTTAGCATTATAATATCTGAAGGTGAGTGGCTGCTTGGTATATGTACCAGTGGCCTATTTATCATTATATGGGATTCCTATTGCTTATACGGTCATATCCCTTAGGTTAGGTATTTGTACTCCCAATGCCTTTTTCATGTGCATTGACATGTTAAAAATTATTTTCCTTTTTTTACTCTTCTCTATGCTTTGACTTTTATCATTAATAAATTTGTGTTCAAACTCTAATTACATGACATTATTTGTTTCAGTGGTATGCTTGAGATCAACTGTTCTAAGGACATAAAAATTCAAGGGATTATTGGACCTTGCACATCTTTGGAGAAGGTTGGACAATTTGTTGATTTAGAGCTTGTATTTATATGCTTTTGTGGCATAATGTTTAGAGCCATTGAAATGTATTTGGTTTACATGTGTTTGGGGAGTTTGATGTTAAATTTTCTAAGCCTGGCAGAAAGGACCTGCTGTTGCTGATACTGCTATAGGGGAGGGGAATACAACAGCTTGGAAAATGTGTGGCCTTGACAAGAGTACTTGCTTGACAGTTTTCTTTGATTTGTCATCTAGTGATCAGTCAAATACACCGGGAACTGTAAATCCACAATTGTATCTGCAGTTTCTTACAAGGTATGCTTGAAGATTGTATCATGACCTTCAACGATGAAACATCTTATGGCACCCTTTGGTTAAATTTTTCTTGTTAGTTCTATGTGAAGACTGAATTTTGGGTGCTTTCTTAAATTGCAGTTTTCAAAACCCTGAAGGTCAAATGATGCTTCGAGTAACAACAATTACTAGACAATGGATAGATAGTTCAGTTAGCTCAGAGGTTATTTCAGTTTCTTTCATTTTTTTGTCAAAATATTTGTTTAGGTTGTAAAATAGTTTAGCCTTTGCTATAGCTGGTGAAGCTTGGTTCTTTTAAATTCACCTTTTTCCTTGGATATCATAAACACCCTTGTTCTCGTTGCATGATTGTGTTGTGACACATTCACACACATGTACTTCCTTTTATTTAGATAACCGAGCAAGGAAAAACTATTCTGCTTTCTCTTTTCCTTTTTAATATTTTTCTGTTAATCCTTTTATTAAGTCCAAGTAAGAGTTGGATAATGGAGAAAGAATACAAATGTTTGTAAAAAGGTATAATATGGTTTCATCATTGTGCGAAAATTGTGAAATTGGTTGGAGTGTGATGTATGAACAAGTGTGAGTATGCATTTTGAATAAACAGTACTTTTTATTTTGTTCTTAGTTGCCAATGTTTGTTGTATATCACCAAAAAGAAATGTATCATGTTCTAGCACATTGATTGGTTTCCTAGAGTTGTTGAATTGTCATTTTTCTCTTTGCTTATTAAAGCTGCTATCAAATAGTTGGCCATGTAATAGGAGCCTGAACCTTGTGTGGAATGATATGTTTTCTTCTTAGTTATATTTTCCTATGCTGCCAACTGATTATTAATTACTGAGCTTGATTGAAAGGATATCACTGACGCAGAGGGATCTTTGACTTTACAGGAATTGGTTCAAGGATTTGACCAAGAGACTGCTGCTGTAGTAATGGCAAGAAAAACTTCCTTGAAAATGGAGTCAGAGGTAGTTCACAGCCATTCTCATCTTCCGTTATCTACTTTTTCCTATTTGTTATGTTCATATCTCACAACTTCAGGTTAGAAGGTATCCTAAAGTTAAGGCCTAAATTTGATTGATATCAAATTCTTAACACAATTTATAGGTCTTGCTTTCTTAGTACGCCAATTTTTATCTCAGGACTGTTGATATATCAAACTTTTAGTCATTGTTTCTTTAATTTGATTGATAGCAAATTCTTAACAAAATTTATAGGTTTTGCTTTCTTATGAATATCTTAAGCTTTCACCCTTATATTGTAGATTACTTGTATTTTGTTGGTTCTTCACCGATGATTTTTTTTTCTTGAATTATTTTTCTTGTAATTTTCAAGTATAGAATTCTCAAAAAAGGTTTGACGTTGTTTCATATAGGAATCTTTTGATGCTACACGATGGTTGGATCGAGGACTTATTCGCCTCTGTTCGAAATTTGGTGATTATCGAAAAGATGATCCATCATCCTTTACTTTAAATCCCTCTTTCTCATTATTCCCTCAATTTATGTTTAACCTCCGACGCTCACAATTTGCAGGTAACCATGATTGCTCCTCTCCCTTTCATCTCTTTTGTTTTGATATTAATATTGCAAACTATTGCTAACATTTTATCTTTTTTCCCACTTTGGGATCTGAAATGGTTTGTTTGCAGGTTTTCAACAACAGCCCAGATGAAACAGCATATTTTCGCGTGTTGTTAAATCGGGAAAATATCAGCAATGCTGCTGTCATGATACAACCATCATTAATATCGTATTCATTTAATTCGCTGCCTCAGCCAGCATTGTTGGATGTGGCATCCATTGCAGCCGACCGTATTCTCTTGTTGGATTCATATTTTAGTATAGTCATTTTCCATGGAATGACAATAGCACAGTGGCGTAACATGGGATACCAGAATCAGCCAGAACACCAGGTATGAATGCTAAGTTTATGATTCCTGGACTGGTGCTGTGCAAATGTTGTTATTGTCTCAACTTACTGTGTACATATTTTGTTTCCAGGCATTTGCACAACTACTGCAAGCTCCCCACGATGATACACAATTGATTGTTCGGGACCGTTTCCCTGTCCCTAGATTGGTGGTGTGCGATCAGCATGGCTCCCAGGTTTTTAACTTTCTTAAAATCTTAGTTTTATTTTCTTGCTTCCCCAGTTGCACTGTTGATAGTTTTCATCTGGGCTCGATTTTAATTTGTTAGAACTTACAATTTAAAAATTATGGTAAACCGTTTGTGTGTAGAGTGCTAGTTTGGTATTTACTTTGTTATTGTTGGTACGAGAGGGCCAGGAGTAAAATTTTAATTTTTCATGAGTTAATCTTCGCTAGTGACAATTGTCAACTCTACTGCATTTCATGAGGGCAGATGAATTTGCACTGTATTCTGAACGCCTACTTATTTTCTACTGATATGCTCTGCAGGCAAGGTTCTTGTTAGCAAAGTTGAACCCGTCAGCAACATACAACAATGCGCATGAAATGGCTGCCGGTTCAGATGTTATCTTCACAGATGATGTAAGCCTTCAAGTTTTCTTTGAGCATCTTCAGAGGCTGGCAGTGCAATCTTGAGAGAGCCAGGTAGAATTTCGAATTCTGCAGCTATACTCGATTTTGGTGCGGGGAAACTTGGTTTAGATTTTCAACCTGCTCTCGTCATCCTGTTCCATTCAGTTGCTTTCCTTTATTTCCAATGTGTCTAAAAGCAAGAGGTCCGACCCCCCACATTCATTTAATAAGGGAAAAAAGCTCGCAACATTCTTTGGGGTGCGGGGAAGGTATTTAGTGCTTCCTTTTGTTAGAGTAAGGGACACGAAAGGCGAAATGTGTTTGATATATTTGGAAAGAAAGGTGTGTGACAGGAATTTGACTTAAAGAGCGAGCGTTCCTGCTTCGGTTGTGCAGCCAAGTCAGGAGGATATTTTGTGAGAACTTTCTTTACATTTTCTGCATTCAACGAGGTCAGGAGGTACTTTCTTGTGTGTCTTAATATTTAAGTTATATGCTCTTGTGGGTTCATGAAGCTTAGGCTGTATTTACTTTTATTTTTAACATATATTACGCCCAGAAAAGAAAGTGTTTGGATTCATTCAGGTTGAATTTGAGGGCATCAATGTTACCGGATATCTGCCGTTATATTGACTTCCCAATAGAAATGTCGTAGTTACAACAACAAAGCCTTGTTCCACTAAGTGAGGTCGACTGAAATGTTGTCGTTCATTTGCCAAATTTATGTGCGAACTGTTGAGCTCATTTCGTTTCCTCGATGTGAATTATATTTTGGTTGTTCTTTTGTTTTGTTGCCCTTTTTATGTTCTTCCATGGTGGTAGAACTTGATTCCGTCATCCTTGAATTTAAATATAACGCTCTTCAAGCTTTCCAGGAACAAAAATTCTGTGGTGCTCTGGGTTGCGATTAGGTCTTTGATTTTTGTATTTTTAATCAAAGATCTGACGGTTAAAAATCTCGTAGTATCTCACTCTGGTCGACCATAGAAAATCCTTCCAGGAATAGCAGCACTACGATGAGCTACCTCAAGCTCAGAGGTTAATCTGCTTTTTAACTTCCAACTTCGCTTTTTGACTCAATGCTAGACTTACCATATATTTGTACCGTATTTTAATACCATAAATAATGCTAGGCTTATTGGGTCAATTGACATGAAGAAATTAGACAAATGAGGTACTTCGAAGAATCACTGAAGTGGCTACCATTCAATCTAACAGTAATATGATTTTAGATTCGAGTGATTATTGATCGACATGATCTATGTGAGAAGGCCTAGAGATAGACGGTTAGATCGTTGAGAGCCCTACAAGGTAGCCCTGAGCTGAAGCTCACCATTTTCGCCAAGATGGATTCAGTACCGAAATAATTTTCTTAGCTTCCGTTCGTTTCTGTTTGAGTTTTAAAGAAAAGCTCTATTTCTTCCAACAATCTCTTATCCCCAACCTGTAATCCTCCTGGATCCCTATCTAGAGTCGACTCGGACGCCATCAAGTCGATGAGAAACTCACAAACTTCTCCCATGTCGTCCAGGACGGTCGCCGCCTTCGCCTTCTTTTTACCCTCTTCTCCACTTTCGCCTCGGCTGTTGCCGCTGTACTTTTGTTTTCTGCACACCTGCAATGTACCAAATAACTGCATTAACTCTCTTTCCACAGCATTTCGGGCTGCTGTTCGAAGTTTCATCTTGTTTCGTGTTCATTCTAAACCAACTGGAAAGAAGTATAATGACTCGAAAAATGCATGAGGAGAGAAAGGAATGGTCACCTGGAGCAACTGATTCACGCTAGCAATTTGTTCCGTCTTAAGGAACTCAGAGTTCAGTAAAGCTCGAAATAAAAGTACAATCTCTGTGCTCAGATTATGAGCTTCGAGGTTTTGAATTACTGCAGATATGCAAGAATCGTCAAATACAGACCTCATCCACTCAGGAACCTTCTGCCGTCTTAGCAATGTGACTGCGACATAAATTGCAGGCTTGTGAAGATTAATGAACGATTTTGATGCTAAGCTCGGGACGGCTAACGACATTGCCAGCTCTTCCACGATCATCCTGCTCCAGTTATTCTTTGTACTCGCACTTGTCCCTTGCATTCCCGCTGATTCCCACTTCAAGATCATTGATAGGCAGAGGCCACAGTTCATAGCCACTCTGAGGTCAGTGTAGAAAATAAGGCCTTCGAGGACAGCCGTTATAGACATTTGGTGCTTCATGGTGCATATAATCTCCTTCCCTGTTCTGTTCTGCTGATCGGACAATCTGTTAAACAACTCCAACAGGCAGTATGAAGAAACAAGTTTGACCGAACCAGATCCAAAATGCAATAGTCTGCAGAGGTCGTAGCAGTAGATTCCGATAAAGGAAATCGGCCGCACCCTATCTGGAGGATCAAAGAAATGTTTCCAGTCCACAATGCCAGGTAAAACAGTGTGCAAACTGGAGGAAATCAAGAAAAAAGAAAAGTTAGTTTCGAAAGAAAAATGCAATTCTATGGTTGAATTTAGTAGTAGGAACTGACCTTCTTAAAGAGAAGTAATTTAGTAGAAGCACAAAGATTAAAACTTCTCCAGAGCTCGTCTCCTCATCATGGTCAGCCAATGCCGGTCCCTTTAGACACGCTGCATGAATTATGCTATTGATTGCACAGACCAGAGAAGTACTGAGAACTATGGCTTTTGAAGGTGCCAGGAGCACTTCGTTGGAAGAATGGTGCAAAACTAAGGCAAGGATGCCTATTACTAAGAGACATTCATGATTCCACGCGTCTGGAGCTCTTGGAGTGACGATATTTATTAACTACGAAAGAAGACAAACTGTCGGATTTAATTCCTATTATGGTAACCCAACAGGTATCAGAAAAATTTAGTTAGTTACCTTCATAGTCACTGCAAGCCAAGATTCTTCATCAGAAAGAGTTCCATGGTGTACAGAGCATAAAGTTTTACATATTAAAACTAAGGCGGCTCTGGACATCTGTGGTGACTGCATATGAGTTGATTCGCAAAAGAGATTCTGGAGAGCATTTCCGATACCATGCAGGCATAACTGGTCTGAAACAGTTGGAAATATGTCGATGCTAGATGTCATTAGATTCAATACAGAAATTATGTCATGCTCGTGTCCTTTCTCGAGAAATTGTGTCAATAAGGACACCAAAAGTATTGCTGCATGATTATCTCCTCCGGCAATTAACTCTGCAATTGAATTAACATTTACCATACGACTTTTGTTTCCATGGACTATGATGTCAGAATCATTTGCTACATTCCTTCCACAAAATTTCAGAAGCTGATAAGACAATGGCCCGCTGATTTTCTCTTCTTGGAACAGCCATTTCAATGATATTGGATGAATTCTTGAAGAAGGCAAATTCCATTCAGTTTCACTTAACGTCTCGAACAGGATTCTTTCCGCTTCTGGACTGTGGGGGATTTGATAGTTAACCTTGGCAAGACCTCTATAAAGACCATAAAGATACACAAGCCTCATTACTGTGATTGGATCTGTGGCCCGACCTTGGAGATCACTACTGTTGACCAGAATATATTGCTCCAGAGAAGCTAAAACCAACTTATCATCTGCAAGTCTGGGGAGCAGAGTATTAAAGATGTGAAGAAAAGTAGGTTGCAGTTGTTAAATTTACCGTCAAACGTATAAAAATATAAGACTAGAAATCGAAAGTTCAATTACCTTTCATCATATAAGGAACTGGTGTATAAAATCAACAAGATGGCAGATTGGCAAGAAGATAATTCCAAATTACGGGAGTTCTTTTGCCCAAGTAGAAAGAGCAAATCAATGGGATCAGATGGGAGACATAAAGCCGCATCTCTAATGGGTTGCCCCGCGTCATTTCCCATAAGAACATCTACTAGTGAACTGAGCATAATATATACCCTCTGTTTCATGTTTTCTGTAGGAAATAAGCCAAGGCATCCAAATGACAAACTGAACCATGTGCTTGAAACCAGGCTGTTCGCAAGTTCCGCTGCTTGGTTATCGGAGTCCTGAAGCAGTATCAAATGAAATGTTTCCAGTACTCCAAGGACAGTATCCTCATCCATTTCATTGAAGTTGGTTACAAACCAAGGTAACAAATGTTTTGTACATACATTCACAACAAATTGTCGTATTTCCACTTTAGCAGATTCAGTAGAATTTCCTTCCTGACTGTACATATAATAAGCCTCCTTAAGCAGGAACAAGGAATGCAAAAGTTGACATGTATGCTTCTCAGAGGTACTTAGACAAGAAAAAACAGTGTGTTGCATTGCTTCTTCAATCAACGTTTGTAGATTCAAATTCGCATGAGCGGATGGAGTTCTGATGATAGATACAAGCACTGAGCAGGTCAATATAAATGTTTCCTCAACCATCCCCATCTCTCCATCAGAATGCTTTTTAAGCATCTTTGTTAGAGTAGGTACTAGCTCTGCTATATGAGAGGAGGATACCATTCCGGGGCAATCAGAAATGCAGTTCCAAATGAGCTTTAATGTCTGACTTTGAGCTGGATGGAAAGGAACATCGGCCACATAATTTAGTACTGGAACTAAAGTTGCAAACCCGACAAGAAGCCTCTGTTTGAAAGCTTGCTCAGCTTTTGATAAAATATCAAGCACCTGAACACATGATTTGACCAGTGGATCCTTGCATTCTGTTCATCAACAACACTTATAAGCTATTTTCATTTTTATTAAGGAAATGAAGTTTAACTAGGCTTATTAGCTGAAAACCAGTTTGTCAAAGAAGCACTCGATTTTTAAATATATTTAAAATGCACTTTTAGAAACTAAGATGCTTTGGGTTCAAGAAACTGGACTTTCTAAGGGCTGGACAGAATAATATTCATAAATAAATAAGACCATATAAAAGGCTTGAGCTACCTACGCTGAGAACAGTTTAAAACTTCTTAAATTCAGTAATTACTTTTGATCAATGCTGGTTGCCGACTCCTTCCTTAAAAGATAGTTTCTGGTTTCCTGATGGTTGGCAATACTCAAATGGCTACTCTAACATCCCGAAAAACATACAAGCTGACAAGCTCAGCATTTTAAGGACAGTTGTCATGGTTTTATTTGGCATGAAAAAATTTACTAACCGGACAACCTCAGTATCTCAAATACATAATCTGCAATGTTTTCTTCAAGTAGGGCTTGGAGTTCTTTGCCTGAAGTGCCTTCCCAGGACATGTAATGAAATAGTAAATCCAGAGTGCTGATCTGGACTTGGCTGTCTGTTGAAAGAAGTGGGCCTTTGATGGCCTCAGTAAATAAGACATTCATTGGATTCACATCTTTTCCTTGTTCTGCTACTTGCTCAAAGCTATCTCCTTCTGATGAATTCATGCTGTTTGAATCAAGTGCATATGCAGTCCCAAAAAGCCCTCTCTGCGTTAACACTGTCAAGAGTGCTGAACAAGTAATATGGAAAATAGTTAGTTGAGAGAAAACAGGATTGATACCAATGAGGCAATGTGCCTGCAAAGAGTAAACATTCTAAGCTGTATCAGGATGAATACCCCAAAGATTCATACATAACCCGAAAGGTTTATAACTTATACCTGTTACCGCTGCAGGGAGTCAGTTTTAAAGTCAAGTACTGTTTCTGAGAGCTGTAACATGTCTATCGTTTGTTTTAAATAAACTTAACATGCACAGAATCTTGTCATGATACAAACAGATTGATGAACTCATTAACTAGAACTGTTCAACAGTCGTTTGAACCAACAGATTGAACTGTTGAGGAGAAAAATTGTAAGGACCTTCACCTTCGTTGTGAAGATTTGGAATGAGATCAATAAGAAACAACTGTAGTGTAGCTTGGAGAGGACCTTTCCAGGCTTGGTGTCTACATATACCTATGTGCCTAAAAGGAAAACCTAAATTGACAGATAATGTAAAACGAGCTGACTAAAATGCTACTCATATCTTGCTGAACTATGGTTCTGTAAGGGCCAATGGACCCAACTTTTAAGGAACAGAAAGATAAGTAGCAAAGGAGTGGAAAACAGACCTACACAATTCAAGCGGACATCATCACTTTGGGTTTTCATGAGGGCCTCCAGAGACAAGTGCAATAGCTTGGGGCAAAAGGCAAATAAAATATCAGTTCCATCACCATCCTCTGATGCGTATTGCAGAACAGACACTTTGTATAGAACAAACAGGATTTCTCCCCGGATCTCTTCACTGTGTTAAAAGAATAGAGTTCAGAAATTGAGTTATAACGTGGTGAATGCGTTAGAAAAGGGAACATGCTCTCTTCCCGATTTCTATATTTGTTACCTTGGCAATTGAAGACCTGCAACGAGATTGGTAATGAGGCCATATTTGTCCCGAATGTGAGCATAAGGATTAGTCTGCTGGCAGTTTAACAGAACCCCTAAGCAGTGAAGCTGCAGTTAAAGAGTGAGTCATATGGTGTATGGATGCATATCATTATATTTACCAGGCACCTCATTGTGGACTCAACTATGATAAACGAGGGAAACCAAGTAGCCAAAATACATGAGAGATAAATCCACTAGTCATATTTCAAGGAAACACTAACTAATCCCCCATTTGAATTAGAAACACTAACTAATCTGTTAGGATTAATGAAATACATTTGGGTTAAGTGTCTTTGTTTGTAGTGCATTTGCAGTGATTTAGTGGTAGTTTTGTCGTGCTTAGTAGTTCATTTGTAGTGTCCGTGTAGTGCATTTGTAACGGTTCAGTCTAAAGTTCCTTCGTACTTCAAAGTTCCCGTCGTAACTTAGAACAAAGGAAAAATAAGGCAAATTTCTGGAATCTAACAAATCTAATTGAGTTCAATTTCACAAAACCGAAAAGTTCTAGCATTACCGAAAATTCTATCCAAATCTCGAAAGTAATTTGTAAGTTCCCACTAAAACAAACGAACAGAATAAATTTTGTATGCTGTTGGATTGGACAGTTTTCCTTTACTTTCTCAGCAACCAAACAGTAAATAAAGCATTAAAAGAGGTACATTTGAGTTAATTATAAAATCTAAAGAGATAATTTGATCGATCGGACGATGGAAATACCGTATAAACCTGACGGCGACTCCAGGCGAGGGAACCGGAAGAGAGGCGATCGGAAACCCTAGCGACGAAGTCAGCAGAAAGCGAGGCGCCGGCCAAATCGCAGAGAGCGGAAACGAGACGGACGACTTGTCGTGCGATGGGGTCGTCGTCGAAGGAGGAGAGAGCGTGAACGAGAGGCGAGACGAGGAAGTGAGAGTGGAAGGTGAGGAGAGATCGGAGGAAAGGGGGGTCGGAGATGGCCTGAGAGAGCTGAGAGAGGGCGTAGGACACGTGGACGGTGGGAGATTGGGGGTTGGAGATGAGGTTGGAGAAGCAGAGCAAGCAGATTGAGCCACCTTGCTTGGTTTGGAGGATGAGCGTGGATCTGTGGCCCTGCGAGCATGCAGTCGGCGACGGCGGCGACGACACCGCTGAATTGGAAACTTCATCTTCTTCTTCTTCATCGTAGTAGTGTTGAATCTGCTGTGACTGTGAGTCGTCGAAGTACATTTTGGCGAACAGTGTTTGAATTTTGGCGCCAAGAGAAAACAGAGGAATGAGGAGTGGGTGGGAATATGGCAAAATGGCCGCTCTAATTTCATATTTTACTTTATTTTCTACAATTTCACATTTTATTTTTCTCAATTGTTTTTTTTTAATTTTAAATTTACTATTCTTAAGGGGAGAGGAAAAGTTTGCAGCTATTACATTAATTTTTGGGATGGGTGAGTTTCAAATCTTTAATTGCAGAGTGTCGGCTGAGTCTAGCGGATGCGCTTGTGGCAGGTCAACTTCGGCCAAAAAAAAGTTCGGGATTTGTGGCTGGATCTAGATGTGGTTCTTTAACCTGCGACAAATCCCTTTTTTAGTGCGAGCATCGCTCTTTCCTTTGACTTGTCTTTTGTTGACGTAGGTATGGATAGAAACTCAACACCATATCCACTAGGATATTGGACCATATAAAAAAATTGGTCATATTTTTGTCAATTAAAAATCTTCCATAAGATTGAATAGTTCAAATGAATTGGATTGCAAATAAAATAATCTAGAAATTTATTAGAAAATTCATTGACGATAGCAAAAGATCTAGGCCTAGAAACGAGTTCCCACGACACGATCCAAGTTTGACGACCAAACCTAGAGTAGCGTTTCCCAAAGCCTGGATATTCCTTTCCCTAACCAATATAAATGTTGGATTTGATTTTTCATGACATTTTAATTTAATTATTGGATTAAAAAGTTTAATGTTTGTAAGGCAAACTTCAAAGGGTGAATTGAGCTTGAACCAAATTCAAGTTATCTCGTAAAAAGATAAAAGATGGTTGCGAGCGCTATGAGTACCATAGCTCCAACTCGGTTTGTTTTGTTGCCTTTTTTTTTTATACGTTGAAATGCCCATTATATACCTGAAAAATGACACTTCATTATTTTCCTATTCATTACCAAACATTGAAAAGAAAAAAAAAATTATTTCTCATTAATTTATTTCCAAGTATCAAATCTAGCATTTAGGGTATATATTCAATTGAGAATTTGAGAGATTTTAATAGATTTATAAATTCATAGATTTTTACGAAGTTTAACTTATTTGTAAAGATTTTATGTAAAATTTTGATTTAATTTCCTCGAAATCTCGGAGGTGTATTCAATTAGGATTTTGAGGGATTTTAATTCTTTTAATGAATTCATGGATATTCAATCATGATTTTAAGTGATTCTCTGTAATTCAATGTGTATTCAATCAAGATTTTAAGATAGTTTATTAAAATTCTTAGAAATGGTGTATTCAATTAGAATTTTAGAGAAATTTATAACATTCCAGGTGTATTCAATTAGAATTAGAATTTAAAAAATTTGGAAAAATTGAGGAATTGGAAGGAATTGATTTTGTAGTGTATTTTAAGTATTCACAAATCTCACATTTTCCCATAAGATTTCGAGGGAATTGAATGAAAATTTTACATGGAATATTTACAAATTAGTTAAACTTCATAAAAATCCATGGATTTATAAATCCATTAAAATCTCTCAAATTACTAATTGAATACACTCTCTCATAAGAAGATGTGAGATTTATGGATGCATACAATACACTATAAAATCTCTCAAATTCCCTCTACTTCCTCAACTTTTCCAAATTCTCTAAATTCTAATTCTAATCGAATATACCTAGAATGTTATAAACTTCTTTAAAATTCTAATTGAATACACCCGGATTCTAAGGATTTTAATAAACTATCTTAAAATTCTAATTGAATATCCTAGATTTATTAAAAGAAATAAAAATTCTCAAATCCAGGTCTAATGGATGATAAAAGGGTTTCAATTTTTTCAAAAAGTAGAGTAGAATCAGGTTCTGTCTCGAGGATTGGTACTGCAAAAACTTCCCTAGCCTCTTAACTTAATCCCTCACCATCTCCATCGCGCCTCCAATCTCTCCCAAAAACCTTCCCCTGCTTTTTTCGTTCGGTCTCGGCCAAAACTTCTTCACCTGCTGCCGCCATGGCCGTCCAGTAATTACCAAACGGCCTTCTCTCTCGCTCGTCGGATACTTGTCGACTTCCTCACCCGACTGATTAGTAATCGAATTGAAGGTGAGGTGGGTTTTTTACTCTGCTTCTGTGTTTGTTTCAATGTAAAGCATACAGTTTTTTTGGAAATTAATTTTTTTATTTTTTTGTTTGTTTTTAGTTTCTTCAAGGTTGAGGTTATGGCCGGTGTTCGGGAAACAGCCGCAGCCGCCGAGTTCTTACAAGTAAGTATTCATTGTTACCATTGTTTTTAATTTTTTTATTATTGATATGAAAAATTGTAGCATTTTGGTATAAACTGTAGCATTTTGGTAGAAAATGTCGATCGAAATCGAAAGTTGTATGTTGTTTGGTTTTATTTGGCAGGGCACGAATAGGCAGAGCCTTTTTTTGCAGAGGAACTCTGTTAAAGGAAGAAGCCAGGTGCTTTGGGGCTCGCTTCACGGGCGAAGTTCAGCTCCCAGTTTTGGTAATAGGAGAGGTGTTTCTTTGAGGTGTCGTGCTCAAGAAAAGCCCAGAGCTGTGGTTTCTGGTGGTGTGAGCAGCTTGGTAGATGATGAGCAGTCAAGCTTGGTTGAGAAGCCTGCAGCTGAAGTTATTCATTTTTTCCGCATCCCGCTCATTCAGGAGAGTGCAACAGCTGAGCTTCTCAAGACGGTTCAGACGAAGATTACGAATCAGATTGTTGGTTTGAAAACTGAGCAGTGCTTCAACATTGGCCTTGACTCGCCGCTTTCCAGCGACAAGGTTTTGGTTTTGAAGTGGCTTCTTCAGGAGACTTATGAGCCCGAGAATTTGGGGACTGAGAGCTTTCTTGAAAAGAAAAGGCAGGAAGGGCTTAGTACAGCTATTGTTGAGGTTGGTCCTAGGTTGTCATTTACAACAGCCTGGTCTTCTAATGCTGTATCGATTTGTCGAGCATGTGGGTTGACAGAGGTGACTCGTTTGGAACGGTCAAGGAGGTACTTGCTATTCAGTAAGGGATCACTTCAAGATCATCAGATTAATGAGTTTGCTGCACTGGTTCATGATCGAATGACTGAGTGTGTGTATGCCCATAAGCTAGTTTCATTTGAAACGAGTGTAGTTCCGGATGAAGTTCGTCATGTAAATGTCATGGAGAGGGGTCGGAAGGCATTGGAGGAGATAAATCAGGAAATGGGTTTGGCATTTGATGAGCAAGATCTCCAGTACTACACTAGGCTATTCAAGGACGAAATCCAGAGGAATCCAACAACAGTTGAGCTGTTTGATATTGCACAATCCAACAGTGAGCATAGTAGGCATTGGTTTTTTACTGGCAAAATTATTATAGATGGACAGCCTATGGATAGAACTCTGATGCAGATTGTGAAGCGCACGTTGCAGGCAAACCCAAACAATTCTGTAATTGGCTTCAAGGATAACTCAAGTGCAATCAAGGGGTTTCTTGTGAAGCAAATGCGACCGGTTCAGCCAGGTTCAACATGTCCATTGAGCATAGCTACTCGGGACCTTGATATTTTATTTACTGCTGAGACCCATAATTTCCCATGTGCTGTAGCGCCTTACCCTGGTGCAGAGACAGGCGCAGGAGGTCGAATCAGGGATACCCATGCGACTGGAAGAGGGTCTTTTGTTGTAGCATCTACAGCTGGTTATTGTGTTGGGAATCTCAATATGGAGGGCTCTTATGCACCTTGGGAAGATCCGTCTTTTGCTTATCCATCAAATTTGGCTCCACCTCTGCAGATCCTTATAGATGCTAGCAATGGTGCATCAGACTACGGGAACAAATTTGGTGAGCCCTTGATTCAGGGCTACACTAGAACATTTGGAATGAGACTTCCAAGTGGAGACAGGCGAGAATGGTTGAAGCCAATCATGTTTAGTGGAGGTATTGGGCAGATTGATCACACCCATATATAACAAAAGGTGAGCCTGACATTGGTATGCTGGTTGTTAAAATTGGAGGCCCTGCTTATCGTATTGGAATGGGGGGTGGGGCAGCATCGAGCATGGTTAGTGGCCAGAATGATGCGGAGCTTGATTTTAATGCTGTACAGCGTGGAGATGCAGAGATGGCACAGAAACTTTATCGTGTGGTCCGTGCCTGTATTGAGATGGGGAGAATAACCCTATCATTAGCATTCATGATCAGGGGGCAGGTGGAAACTGCAATGTTGTTAAGGAAATTATATACCCCAAGGGTGGCCAGATTGATATCCGGGCAATTGTAGTTGGTGATCACACAATGTCTGTCTTGGAGATATGGGGTGCAGAATACCAGGAGCAAGATGCAATCTTGGTGAAGCCTGAAAGCCGCCACCTCTTGCAATCAATATGTGAAAGAGAAAGGGTTTCTATGGCTGTTATTGGAACAATAAATGGTGAGGGACGTGCTGTTTTAATTGATAGCTTAGCTATTAAAAAATGTGAATCTAGTGGAATCCCTCCCCCTCCTCCTGCAGTCGATTTGGAGCTTGAGAAAGTACTTGGTGATATGCCACAGAAAAGTTTTGAATTCCACAGGACGACTGATGCACGTGAACCACTTGATATTGCTCCTGGAATAACAGTGATGGATTCACTTAAGAGGGTGTTGAGACTTCCATCTGTTTGTTCAAAGCGCTTCTTGACATCCAAAGTGGACAGGTGTGTTACAGGTCTTGTAGCACAGCAGCAGACTGTTGGGCCCTTGCAAATTCCTCTCTCTGATGTTGCAGTAATAGCACAGACTTTTACTGACATGACTGGAGGTGCATGTGCCATTGGGGAGCAGCCAATCAAAGGTTTGTTGGATCCAAAAGCAATGGCGAGATTGGCTGTTGGAGAAGCACTCACAAATCTTGTTTGGGCAAAGGTCACTTCTCTATCTGATGTTAAAGCCAGCGGGAATTGGATGTATGCAGCCAAGCTTGATGGGGAAGGAGCAGCTATGTATGATGCTGCTACAGCTCTTTCAGAGGCAATGATCGAACTTGGTATTGCAATTGATGGCGGGAAGGACAGTCTTTCCATGGCAGCCCATGTTGCAGGCGAGGTTGTTAAGGCACCTGGCAATCTTGTAATGAGTGTTTATTGCACTTGTCCTGACATAACAAAAACAGTAACCCCAGATTTAAAGCTTAAGGATGA